CGACATAAAATTTGAGCGTGGGACTCCGTTCAAACCCTTTGAGCAGCTCATGGGAGTTCTCCCAGCTGCCAGTAAAGTAAATCTTCCTGAGCCGTTCCAGAAGCTCATGACCGACGAGGACTCCGAGATTATCGACTTCTACCCGGAAAGCTTCCCAATCGATCTTAATGGAAAGAAGTTCGCTTGGCAGGGTGTTGCACTGCTGCCGTTCATCGATGAGAAGAGATTGCTAGATGCGGCGCAGAAGATTTACCCTTTGCTGAGCAAGGAGGATGCGGGAAGGAACGCCATGGGTCACGATGTATTGTTTGTTGCGGACACTAATGAACTCTACGACGATGTCGCGGCAAAGTTCTATAGTAAGAGGCAGGATGTTACCGTATGTGTTCTCTCACAGCACCACTTTTAAATCACCATTCACTAACCAAGGACAGAAATACACCATTAACCCACATAAATCCCAAGGTCTCTCCGGCACCGTCAGCAAAGACCCCGCCTATATCCCCCGTTCCACACTCCCCTACCCCCTGAGAACTGGAGAAATGCCTGAAATCACCGACGATCGCAGCATGTCGCTTTTCTTCGAATTCTCCAAGTCCAAGCATGTCCACAAATCTCAGATTCTCCGCGGTGTAAAGTTCAATGAACCTGTCCTCACCCGTGCAGAACAAGAGGAGGTGAAACGCCGCTCCACTAACGGCGGTCGTAGCTATGGCGGCGCACAGCTTTACCGCAATAACTCTGGGCGTGGCCGCGGCCGCGGCGGAGGCGGTGGAGGCGGTGGAGGCGACTATGGCAATAACCATCAGGGAAGCTTCAGAAGTGACAGAGGAGGTGGAGGGGGTCCACCTAGCTATGGTGCCGGGACATGGTCGGCACCTCCACCACCGCCGCCGCCAGGAACATGGGGTGGTAATAATAGTTGGGCTCCACCTGGAGCTCCCCCAATGGCAGGCGGGCCACCGCCCATGAGCTGGCGTAATAACCCGCTTGGTGGGCCTGGGGGATATGCGCCTCCCCCGCCGCCCCCAGGGACTGGGTTTAGTTATGGTCGGGGCGGAGGATACTCAGGCGGTAACAATGGTGGTGGCGGATACGGCCATCAATCAAGGGGTGACGACAGGTATAGGCCTGGCGGAAACGATAGAAGGGGTGGCGGCGGTGGAAGCCACGGCGATAGAGACGGCGGCAACGCTGGTATTTGGAGGGGAAGCGGTGGGAATAGAGGCGGGTATCAGGGTGGTGGTAGTGGTAGAGGCTACCAGCAGGGGTACCAGAGATGAGACGAAATGATGGCATGTACTAAATAGTTAGATTGGGGACATACTCTAATTTTCTTGAAAATTTTCATTTTCTTTCTTGAATTTTGTAGGTTTAGGATGGACGTTTAGTTTTATGAGATAGGCCCTAACGAATAACTCATTTCACCTGGATTGGTCACAGTACTGAATTAAATCTTTCGAAGGTATGAACATGACATTAATTGGTTGCCTGAAAGAGTATTACGTAAGTAGTTGTAACACATGGATATGGCTTAGGTAGGACACATATCATCAATCTGGGTATGTAGAATCGTGGAAACTGTCCTGATTACAGCAGGTTTCATAATACTAGGCTCGACTAACTTTCACACACATACAGTGTAATTCTTCAAACCTTAAAATAATAGCCTGCTTAGGAAATCAGAGTTTAAGATTTTCAAGTGATTGCCTGAAAAGGTAATTTCAATTGCCCGGATAGGCCATCTTTTGAGAATCATACTGAGAGCGAGAAAATCGCCTAGGCCTACATGTAGTATTATGAAACCTGCTGTAATTGAGAGAATTATGAACCATAATCATTTTTGCATGGTGACTATATGACCATTTACCCATCTATCAACCCCCGCTCATAGCACTTGGCGGTAAATACCTTGTTATTTTGATCATTGACTACTGGTTCAAACCAGCTCATAGACGGCCACTAGACGACCTGTAGTTCTAACCTCAATTTGGAGAAAATACAATACCAAAAAGGGTATGGATTCGCTAGTTATTCCCGTTAATGCGCTAGTAATTCAGCAAGAATACGGTATTACTACAGTATCCTTTTTGTAATGCCTGTTTAATTCCGTATTATTCACTAAATCCCGTAGTCATACAGTACTAATTTCACCCCGTTTTTTCGTACTATACCTACGTAGAAACCCCTTCAAGGACCTCCATGAATGCCTCCAAGACAAATCATTAAAAAAATGAAAATCTCTAATATCCCGAATATTTAACCTTCTCAGAAACCATAACTCATTATATTCTAATCAATGGTGAGTAGTAGCTTCGTGGTTAGCTATAGTCGGCTCGGACTGGGTGAGCTCGAAATTTAGGCCCGAAGCTTGAGCCAGGTTAAATGATGGGCTACACCCTAAACCTCTTAAATATTCAGCTGAAAATCCTATCAAGTGAGTCTACAGCTATACGCGAACTTAGACGTGTACTGGAGTAAAGGTTTAATTTAATCACCATTGGTAAGGATTGACAGTTTACTAGGCACGACGCCCCTGGGCTTCGACCCTATCCTACGGAGGCAGTCGTATGTATGCCCTGAACAAAAGCCTGAATTTGTTTCTAGACGAGTTCCTCCTAGCTCGTAAGAATAGGCAGCTACGTAGCCTCATATTAATCTGATTATTTAGAATATTGATATGTTAGTATAGGTTAGGGTTGTTGATCCAGATCGAGTAGCCAATCAGAGAGCGATAAGCTCTTACCCCATAACCCTTCACTTCGTTCAGGATTAGAGCAAAGGTTTAGTTATCAGTTGATATTTTGTGGATAGATCTAATCAGGTAGGTACATATAGGTTGAAATAATCCTTATTAGTCATATATCATAGTTTGTGGTAGGCTCGTGTTTTTCGATTAACCCTCTAAACAAGAGATATTCAAATAGATGGTCTTACTTTCCAAGTTTGGCCGGTTCGAATGGATTGTTAGTATCGATTACTTCTTGACTGAATATGACAGTGTCTGAGGGTTATAACGTAAAAGTAGAAGCTCGACGATTTTCAGATGTCCACACTCTGCGACTACCTGTAATGCTGCATTCTGGCCTCATACTGATATCCGCCCCTAGCTTGAGAGCGGTACAATCGAAAGGCACCGATGTGTCCCTAGTACAGACTACTCCGCAGTTTCTTAAGCCCTCTGGCCGAACTATGACCCCTGTTCGTTAGGGCATAGTTAAGCCGCATGCAGCAGTTAAAATTGTGCTTAATGCCATTCAATAAAGATGTGCCAAGCTGGCAGCCAGCGTTTTATAACAGCGTGTAGTGACCTCGTAAGAGGGGAAGACATCATTGAGTGCTTTTCTCCACTCATCGAGAATCGCCATCACATATAATCACTCGTTTTTAGTATTCAGGCCGCAAATTCCACACAACCTGCTTCTAAAATAGAGTTCAGCCAAACGTTTTGAGCCCGCGAATTTTAGTGACACAGTTTCCCCCTTTCAGCTGGGACTTATATCCCTAGAAATGCACAGTATTGCAATGAACCGTGAAAGCGTCCCACGAATTCAGAACCACCATACGTACATGTATGTAACCACTATAAATGTTTATCATGAACATTCTGTGCATGTGTACTGAAACTCATCATTTCGGGATTTCTGTCGACAACCACCTGCCGGATCTATTTTGATTCTGTTGATGTGTATGTAGCTCTGTGGCAACAATGATAACCCTAAATTAGGTGTCAGGGAGGTACCTATGTTAGCTAGTGTTTCCCCTAGACATTCAATGTTTACCTCATTTCGTTTTCAACCAGCCCTGCCGGATCCAGCTCATGAAAGGAAAGGCCTCATGTAAAGCTCGCAAAGGTCTTACTGCTTGTTATGCAAACCTCAAATGGCGATGCATGTCTATCCCAAGCATTAGCGACATACAGCAGAATGACGCCTTCAAGGTCCGCTCACAGCGCCAAGGATGTCTAGATGTATGTCCGTCACGTGATAGGCGCGCGCATCAAGGTTAATGACAGTGCGTACTCGGTGATGGTGCTGTGTTTCAGTCAAGTGTTTTGCTTAAGGGGAGATTAATTTCCTTGCTATATCGCAAACGTCACTTGTCCTTGACGATCAGGAGGAGAGGAGAAGAGGAAGAGGAGGCAGAGGAGATGAGACTAGTCCAGCGATACAGATCGATCCTACTCTTCACACACAGCAAGTTACTGCTTCTAGGCGAACACACATAAGAGTGAAAAGGGCGGATCTAGAAATGCAGCGCACAGTCGTTCAATTCACCAAAGCGGTGCTCTACACCCCGCCACACCTCGGCATACCCCCCCTCCCTCTCGCTCTCCCTCCCATCCCAGGTCCAGGCTCACCCCAACCGAGTGGCCGAAAAGCCCTGCTTGCCTACTCTATCGCTCCGATCCAATTTCCTTCTTTCTTTTCAGGTCCGCCCGCCCGCCTACAGAGAAAAAAAAGAGTGTGGGGTTAGGGTTGGATGTGCGCAATAGCTAGGTGTCTGTAGTTAAACCCCCGTTCGTTATTACAATCAGCTCACCGGCTTTGCATGTAATTATTGCAATTCAAGTAAAAACCTCCTCCCCTCCTCTCCAGGTACTTAGTAGTTAGGTAGAAGATCGCTCGTTCCTTCCCTCTCTAACCTTACTCTACCTCCCAGCCAACCCATCCCGGCCCCCCGACCAGAAAACCCGCATTCTGTCCCATCACCTACCTAACTGCTCTACTACCTACTACTAACTACTCTTCCTACTACCTACATTACCTTCCATATCACTCACCCATTCACCGAGTATCTCCCACAACCTCCTTCCCACCTTTGCAGGAAGTTACCGGGGAAAGAACCGTCCGTAGCTCCCCCCAGGACGAACGTGTCTTGTAATATTATCATTGTTTTTTCCTGCGACAATCTCCCAACCAAACCTGCCGCCCACCACCCGTACCCCCCGCGATTCCATTCTCACCGCCCCCCACGATATAACACTCTCTTCCCCTTCCATGGATGGGGACAGGAAGCTGGTGCAGACTCTCCTGGAGCGGCTTTCGTCGAGGGTGAGCCATAGCGCCCGTTTATATTTTCCCCACGCCTTATCTCCTTCCGTTCTTCTTAATCAGGGCTGATGATTGATGGGGAACTCTGTAGCTCCCGAATCGGACTGGCGATGATCTGAATGATGTTAGACGCGATGATCTGGTCGCGCTGACGAGGGGGACGTTGATTGAGCTGGCGCGCAGCCAGATTGATATACTCGTCGATTGCATCTCGAAGCAGTTGGAGATTGTGTCAAGGGTATGTCCCTTCTCCATTCATTCATGTCCATTTCTTATTTCCCCGGAATTTCCATTTCGTCGGGACCCCATCTCATCTCCTCATCTACCCCCACCTCCCCGCATGTCCCATATATTACTCCTAATCTGCTGCACATATTCCCCCCACCCAATGCCACAAGTAACTCATCGCTGCTACCTAGGGCTACGAAAACTTCTCGCCCCGCTCCCGCCCGCAACTGGTTCTCCTTACACAGACATACCTCGTTGAAATACTCGCCGACTGCACCTCCGCCCATTGGGACACACTCGATCCCACACACCCGCGGAAATCACGCCGCCGTGACCGCGAACCACCGCCTCTCGACGATTCACTAGCTAAATATGTTTTGGACTCACTAATGCGACTCACAGCGTCACCGGCTGCGGACACCGACGCTCATAGCATGGTGATGACTATCAACACCATGACATCTACAGACACTAGACGGGAAAGGGGTTCAAATATGTCCGGATCCACGCACCGTGATTCGAGAGCTACCAATCGGGAAAACAGGGACCGAGATCGAGATAACAGGGACCGAGAATCGGAAGTGGAGGCACCGCTGGACGGCCTACCAAAGAAGCCAACAGAGCTAGAACGAGCAACCTACAAGGTCATTGAATACTTATCTGCGAGCAACTGGAATCTAGTATATCACACCTTTTCAATAAAATTGAAAACTCTACGGACAACAGCTGCAGACGATAGTGATGCGACTAGTCTATCATTCATATCGCATCTACACCTAAACTCTAAAAAGCTCTCTCTTCTACTCCAGGAGATTGGTGGATCTTTTCTCCCACTTAGGAAAGCACCTCAGAACACCCTTGCTTCATTGCTGCCAGAAACAATACAGCGATGGATCGACGCTCGACCGGGTGAATTTGTCGATCTTCATGTCGCAAACCGCCGTCTCGAAGGAGGTGCCGAGATCCTATTTGACCTTGCCACCGGCCTCGTGGACGGCACAAAGCGGCGGGGTATCCTATGGCCTCTGCAGACAAGTCTGGTTCTGCTGCTGCCTGATGTATTTTGGGTTCTTGAGATGCGGGGGGAGCAGCGGGGAGGTAGTTTTGCGAAGAAGGTTGCGTTCCTTAGTAATTTAAGGCAGTCTTTAAGATTGCCAAGGAGCTCAGATATTGCTGCGTCTTGTCTCATCACCATTTGCCGGGCTGGTGCACTGTTTCCGGCGGAGAGCGAGAGTGCATTGCTGAGTTTTGCACTGGATGTGCAGAACGATATAACGGACGAAATATTCAAGAGACAGGGGTGGGGAGGAGCTGCAATGAGTGTCCTCAACGGAACTAATGGCAAGGATGGAGGCAAGGATGAAGCAGGCGGAAGAGAGAAGGATGGAGACGCAGTAGATCGGGATATCATGATCAAGGCGTTTGTTAGTAGCGCAAGATTAAACGTGGAGAGCGTAGTGGAAGGACTTCTACCGAGATGTTTAGATAGGAGTAGTCCCGTGGGGTTCAAAGTCACAGTTTTTGCAGGAGTTGCGGTGTTGGCTACGCAGGTTGGTCTCCAATTCCTTTCTCATATCTTAGATACCCTCGTCCCCCACGTGGGGTTGAGTGATGACCTGTGATCGAGGGCGAGTGCTAATTCATGTCTGAAACCTAGAGCAACGCCGAAGATTACAATCTTATTTATCGTGCTATTGCCCCTGAAGTTCGCGAATACTTCATCACTATTGCCGCCATGCGGAAAGCTCCCAATGGCTCACCCGACAATAGCGCAACCCGCCATAATAACTCATCTTCCGACTCTATCGGTTCCGTCGAGCTCCTCTACCAGCTTCTCGAGTTGCTGAAAATCCGCCCTCTACTAATGTATGAGAACCTTCCGTGCCAAACCTCAGAGAGCGAGCCTCGGGATACGGACCAAGAATGGGAGAAACTAGGGGACCGCATTATTAACGCTATTCTACGACTGATCTGCGATGATGATGAGTTTGTGAGGAACTCGGCAGTCATATTTGCGAAACGGTTGTTGAGTACCGAGGCATTCCAGGTTACAATGCGGCAAAACGGTAATCTTTCTTTATTGGCGTTCTTTTGGAAGGCGACGAGTACAGTAGTAGCGAGCCTGAGTAAGAAGTTATTGGACTTTCATGCGCAGGATCCCGGGTTGAAGAGTATGTTGGAGTTGGTGCATGGGTATCTTGAGACAAGGGTTAGTATCATCAGTAGTAGGAAGGAGTTCACAGAAGCATTTACAGACATCCCTGAGAGAACAATTGCAAATGTCTCGCTCGAGGTATCTTTTCTTGTCTTGCTTTGCAGCAGCGATCTTGATATCTGCTCAATTACTACTCACGCTATCGCTCTCCTCTGCGAGGAAGGTCGTCTTACCGAAAACCCTGATGATCTCGCCCGCTCAAATCTCACAGTAATGCGTAATTTCCCCGTCTATTCCGAGCTCTCGCTCCAAACATTCCGAATCACCGGCCCTGTCGCATTCCAGAAACGGTTGCGCAGACTTCTTACTAGAATGTCGATGCCCGGGCCCGGAATCCTAATGGCGTGGGAGCAGGTCTTTCTTAGATGGCGGAGCTTGTGTAAGCATATTCTTTCAAACACTGGCTCCTTTGACGACCGTATGCACATGGAGTGGCGCAACTACAGTGGTTTCCTAGCGAGTGTCGCGGGATGCTGTATTGCAGATTTCCCACATCATGGGCGTGCAGATGATGCATCTTTGTCTGGGCTACGATGGATTGATAGACTCGCGAGCGACGGGGATGGGATGAGCTTGTTGGAGAGATTCATGAAACAGTGTTTGCAGTTGCTACTCTGTAAACTCGTTTCTGTCAGAGAAAACATCCGAGAAGTGCTAGGCACAGAACTCAACCCGAGATTGTATCTGCAACTCTTTAGGTCTTTGGAGGTAGAGTTTAACTATATCTTCGACCCAACAACGAAGGATACACAGACCGAGAACAGAACATTATTTGCGGAGCAAGCATGTAGTCTGTTGAAGACGATTGTGGAGAGGATGGAGGATTCACAGGATATGTTCCTTACTGTTGACCTCGGAGCACTAACGTTGAGTCTGGCGAGGTATCTGGGGAGTTTAAAGGAGGATAATACTGCACTCAGGGTGAAGATCCGGATGTGCCAGCTTGTGGAGCTGGTTGCAAGGAAAAAAGAGATTGTAAACTTGAGGCAGGATATCAGAGTGAGGAACAATCTGCTGCAAATATTAGTAGGGTGGATGAGTGCTATGCAGAAAGTAAGTTCCCTCCCACTAGTGGCGATTTTGTGGCGTGGTGGTATGACGCGGAGGGCGGTGACTGATGGGGTGACCAGGGTGAGGTATACCAGGGCTCGGGGATCCGCAAAGACGAGTTTTTCAGACTGCAGAGGGACCTCGATAGGGCTTGTCTCAAAGCGCTAGTAAACCTGCTACATCGACTACCCTTACAACCCTCGGAAACGGCGAACGATACCGATGTCGTTGATGCAAGGAGTCAGATGTTTTGCTCGTATTTCACAAACTTTTTGGCGCTCCTTGATTCTACGAATCTAGGAGACGATAAAAGACGTGACATGCAGACTGTCTCCCTTGCGAAAGACGATGCAAGCAGTTTCCAGGAACTTGCGATACTGGCGTTGTCGAATCTTTTGAGCGCAAACGTGGACGTTGGTCTCAAGTTCTCTCTAGAAATTGGCTACCATGATGATGTGGAAATGAGAACAGCTTTCATGCATGTGCTCACAAATATCCTCACACAAGGTACTGAATTTGGCACGCTGGGTGATAGTGCAATTGGAGAAAAGTATGAGCGGTTGATCGATTTGTTGGTGAACGATCTACAATTTGCATTGGCACTTTGTGATTCGTGCCCCAGCAGCGAGGTGGACGAAATCAGTGTTGCGCTGCTCAATATATTTGATTCCCGGGGACTGGGACTGACATTATTGAAGGAGCTGATTGAGCAAGAAGTTGCCAATACTGAGAGTGAAAGCGAGCTGCTGAGGAGGAATTGCGTTGCAACGAAAATGCTCAGTGTATTTGCTAAATGGAAGGGAAGTGATTACCTCCGGAAAGTGTTGCAAAAGGTCTTGCAGAGGATGATCATAGCGAGCGATGATCTGGAACTTGAGCTGGACCCCGGACGAACTAGCAACACGGAGGAGATACAGAAGAATGAGATGCAGCTGAAGTACCTCACTAAGGTCTTCCTTAATGAGATCTGTAAGAGTACCAAAGAAATTCCGAACAGTTTCCGGTGGATATGCCATACAATCTCTTCCTGCGTCTTTGACCGGTTCCCGGAAGCAAAGTTTACTGCTGTTGGCGCCTTTATATTCCTTCGATTCTTTTGCCCGGCTATCGTAGCACCGGATAGCGAGGGCCTCATCAATAAATCTCCGAACAAAGAGATGAGGAGAGGCTTACTGCTTATCGCCAAGATTGTACAGAACCTTGCGAACAATGTGCTTTTCGGGGCAAAGGAACCGTACATGATCCCATTGAACGAGTTCCTAACCCAACACATCTGGATTGTTACGAGCTTTCTAAGGGAGATCTCAAGCCCACCACAAACAGTTGAGGCCGTTGTTGCACAAGAGAGTTTTGACTTTGGGAGTAGTGTTGCGTTGCACAGGTTTTTGTACGATCACTGGGAGGTTGTGAGGCAGAAGTTGATTTTCCAGGAGAAACATAAAGCGAGGATAAAGGGGGATAAGAGCTTTGATGGGCCGACAGGATTGCAACTAAGTATAACGAAGTTCTCAAGCTTAATCAGCACCCTTGGCGCACCACCGCTGGATGTTAGTTGGGGACGACCAGCAGTCTCTGGGAGTATCCAACCAGCTTATTCAAGATATCAACACTTTATGCTGAGGAACAGTGGGAGAAGTGTGGAGAGTATTTTGAGCGCTAGGATTGTGTATGATGGCGGGGAGACGAAAGATAATGTTCCAGTCATCTGCCTCGTGCTCAGGAATATCAATGCCGGTACCATGGATCCAGATCTCCTCATCTACTGCTTCCTCAAGATCGCCTCAAGGGTCTGGCACAAGAATTTTGCAGTATTGATCGATGCAACCTGTTACTCTCTGAGCAACGAACTCCCGGATCAGGTCTATAAGAAAATCAACTCATTGATGCCTCCAGACATGATCAAGAATTATAGCCGCGCTTACATCTACAATATGAATAGTGCTTACCGCAAGTTTTTCCGACGGCAACTCCGATATGCAGTCCGAGACGATACTCATGCTTGGCATCCAAGCAATATCGACTTTATCATGCTAGGTTCCGTCTCAGAACTGCAGCAACATTTTAATTTGGGGAGTTTACACCTGCCGAAAGAGACTATGAGCTTTTTGAGCGATTCTAGATATGTTTTCCATCACATCACGAAGCTCAGCAAGACTAGAGGGAAAATAGATGTTGTCTTCAAGGTCGGTAGCCAATATATTCAGATCACGCCGACAGCGAAACAGGAGATTGTTGCCGCACTTCATATGTTTGCAACTGTAAACGACATATTTAGACTCACCGATGTTGAAGAAGCAAACCCTAGCTTCTACACTGACGACGAGAACGCTTTTGGGATTAAAACGGACAACGGGAAGGTTCCGATGTATTTCACAAGCCCGAGGAAAAACGATATTCTTCAGACGCTCAAGACCAGCAAGGCTAAATATAGTAAAGATAATAAGCCCAGTAAGACGAACGAACGCACAATTCGTCCAGAGGATGTGCCGGGGACATTATTGAATATTAGCTTAATGAACATTGCGAGCTCTGATCAGTCGCTGAGGTTGGCGGCGTACAATTTGTTGTGTGCGTTATGCCAGACGTTTGGATTTAATCTGGATAGGCCATTTGTGAGCGCGAAAGGTAAAGATATAGGCTCTTGATTTGATTGATATTTTGATCACTGACCGCGCTAGGCCTGAGTATCCCAATGGACCCGGTAGCCCTGATTGTTGGAGTGAGTGAAAAACTGGCTGCGAGCGAGCCACAATTGACATACGACTTTATGTCAGAATTTTTTGTTGGCTGGGAAAAGACACCTCCACAACAGCGGCCCCTCAATATTCTGTATATGGTTCCGTGGCTGTCAAACCTATATTCTCAGGTTCTCATGAGTGGTGATGACAGCGAGCGCGGAAGGGAGAGACTTGCTACTATCGCTCGGAAAATGATTGATATCACCGTTCGAGAGCCAAGGCTGTATACGACATTCCAGCAGAATGCTTGGTCGGTGATTAGCAAAGACGAAGGATTACTGGACGTCTTCTTAGATGAAATGGTTAAAACTGCCTTGAATTTCGGCTTTGGCACTGACGGGGCTGAAACAATCGGGTCTATCGCGTCAAGCTTTGGCACGCTAACGATCAGGGGAAAGATAATCATGAGGATCCGAAAAGCAATTACCAAGTCCTCGCTAAGACCAACCCGCCACCTGGTTGATAACGTTGTATGGAGCGAGATCTGTGTTCTCTTGCGTGTATGCCTTGCGATATCATTCGACAGCAGGGTTCAGGCACAGATGTATCTACCTGAACTGTTCCATATTATCACGATGGTGGTCAACTGCGGGTCAATCCTAGTCCGTTCAACGGTTCACAGCTTGCTCGTTAACACTATCCATTCGATATGCGTTTCGTTTCCCCTAGAGGAAGTAAAGTTGACGGAGCTGAAGGCTATTCTTACGAACTTGTCGGGCCCAAAATTATGTTTGCTGTTTAGTTTAAATCGACCAACATCAAGGGATCAGGTGACGATTCAAGATCAAAGGACAGCGGAGCCGACGACTGCTACGAGTATGGAGCAGATTACGAACTTGTTGCTGGAAATAGTGTCGATCGCGGCACCGTCGATTGGTGAGTTGACTCTTAGCATATGATATAGCAATGATTCTAACGGATGGTAGATATGGCAAATATCTGGAGAGCACGATGGATGAGTCTCGTTGCGAGTACCGCCTTCCAGACAAATCCGGCTATTCAGTCAAGAGCATTCTCAGTGATGGGCTGTTTGGCGAGGGAGGATGTCGATGACGATCTTCTCTACCAGGTTCTTGTTGCGTTGAAAAACTCACTGGCAAGGTTCCTCCAAGAAAGCAATGATAACGAGATGTTGACCAGCATCGTAACGAGTCTCACAAAAATGATGGAGAACCTCTCGCCATCATCCCGTTACCTCCTGCAACTTTTCTGGCTAGCAATATCGTTGGTCCGTGTTGGATCTGGACTGATCTTTAACTGTTCTGCTGCGCTTCTAGAGGCAACTCTGCGTACAATTGCTGCATCGGGCGAATTCAAAAATAACCGCATGGTCTCCGTTCTCCTCCTAGGTAAGCCCACCGTTGAAGAAGCCACCAACGCCATCGACGAATTATACGGTCTTCAATTCAACCAAGACTCTTTTCATATTGCCGTTGCTGCAACACTCGCCAAAGGACTCCAAGATCCATCGACAAAACCAGCTGCTCTCCGTACGCTGACAACGTTTATGGAAGTTGTTGCTACCAACACGCCAGAGAATGTTAGGTGGGGTATTGACATACCTGTTCCGCCGTATTTGGCGATGGTCTGCACTCGTGCCACCAGTATTGTAGAGTTGAAAGAGATTCTTTGGGTTGTTGGCATTGCTCTTGATGGAGATGAAACTATCGAGGCGGAATGCTACAATAAGTTGGGACCCCTCCTCGACGGAATGAGTGAGCAAAACCTACTCCTCACTGGGGTCTTGGGCGTCATCGATTTCAGGTCCTGTGAGGAGAGCATCCAGCGGCAAACTTTATCCATCTTTACCATGCTGGCTAGACGTAGGCCCGAGGTTCTTCTACTGCTATATGATCATCTATTAGATCACCTCGATGACGTACTCAGTACTTCGCACAGCCCAATGCTCCTCAAGGAAGCGAACACACTCATGTGTGTGACCTCTGCCGACCCGAGATTTGCAAACAGAAGAGATTCAAAGGAGGCACTTGCCACGTACCTAGATAGATGGGGGCTGGGTGGAATATGGTTCTCGACGAGCTTTAAAACAACAAAGGATCTCGAGAAGAGATGTGCGGGGCTTACTATCAAATTGATTGAGGTGAGTATCATTCTACCGGGATTCTTAAGCTAGGACTGAGACTGACTAAATGGATTTAGTCGATTATATTATGATCGGCTGAAAGTTGATGGCTTGATGATTCTAATGATACCAAAAGAAATGAACTAAGAGGGGATGAAGTAAGCAGTGGAGGTGGTAGTGGCGGCCTTGGCGGAGGAATGGCAAAATTGATCTTTATATCTAGGCTTTCTTGGAGTTATTTTTATCCTTTTTGTTATTTTTGATTTTTTGATTTGTATTTGTACGTACCTTCTTTTGCCCACCAATTTTCATCGTACGTTTTCTTTTTCTTTCTCTTCTGCCTTTCTTTCCTTTTCATAGCATGGGGCGTTCTTTGCGAAAGCGAATCGGGTATGGAATGGGGATGGGAAGGAGGCGATGGCGGGGGGTTAATGAGTTTAATGATATTACAAAGCTGGAAAGTAAGCCGAGGTGTGTACATAAATGTAAGTAATTTTTGGTTGGCTAAGACGTACTCCGGGTGCCACGAGAATGTAAATACCTAGGTCCCAGATAGTGATGCACATCCAATTAACTCTCAACCCAAAATCAATACCCCTCGCGAGGAAGCATGTCAGGACACCGCTACGTAAACCTATATACTTAGTGAAAGTTTATACTTAGTGTCTGCTCTGTTTAGGGAGGGTGTTGTGGTAGAATACGTATCCAAATGCACAGCATCTTCCAATTCCATGGGCTCGTTTATATAAAACTACATACATATATAGGTAGGTCATAGCGTCCTAGAGATACAGGTACATACATAGGTTATAATAACCTCGTCCCCGGACACGATTGAATCCGCCAAGGTTCCCAACACCACCCGTAGTACATACACCTAACCCCGTGCCGTGTGACGACCAACCACGAAGAGTCCACAATAAAGTAAATAATAATAAAAATACTAAAGGCTTAAAATACATCAGCACTTGGCATTGGGGTTCGTTGGTGGTGGAGTTGGGGTGGGTGTCGCGGCTTTGACCCTTGGAAACTCTGTAGATTTGTCTAGTTGTCAAACGGGCCCTAAGTAATCCGGAGGTAGAGCTAAGTGCATGTAAGTCTGTCATCCTAGTCGTTAGGAATGATGTCCTAGCGTCATTTTCATAGCTAGAGATTGGACCCTGAGAAAGCTACATGCCATTACATAATATATGTAGTCAATCCGGTTAGTTGAAGAGTGATACTCTATGACGCAACCAACAGCCCTGTTTATTTTCTTACAGACAGGATGTTTTGTCCGTCGCGGGTAGGGAAGGAACCAGATCTAGATATTCTTATGGAATAATCCATTATCATTACAATCCTGCTGCTCCTAATTCTATTCTCCCGTTTCCATTGGACATGTATTTAGCTGGTGTCTTGCACGCCCTAGGGTATGGGCGATTTCCTGGCTTGGGTTGTTGTACTGACAGGCTCTTGTAGTCCCGAAATGGATATTTGGATTCTTTCTTTACTTTTACTTTGACAGATGCATATATATAGTTCTTTAATAGTAAACGAAAGTACCTGACAGTAATATTATCAATCTCTCGAACTAATCATTTCTCTTCTTTTTTAAACTATATATGGTGCGCACACTCTTAAAGGTGACACGGCGGTATCTGGAAGTGGAACAATCGTGGCTGCAAGGTGAACTCCAAGGCCAATGAGAGGGCTTATTCTTAGCCACTTTGCTGTATTCCTGCCGCAATTCACTTTTGAGGGGGTATAAATGGGTATAATACTGTTCCACTTTGCTCTGATAACTTTACAACCCAGACAGATGTCAAGAATCTGCAATGATAGAACTAAACTTCGTCACTAGTACTAGAGTTCTATCATTACGCTTTTTTTTTTTACCATTTTTCATTGCAAAGTTATCAGCCATTGACATTTCGTCGCGATCCGTTACCTTTAAGAGTGGGCGCACCATACTTTCTACCGTTTGTTTTTGTGCCGTAGTTAATAGATACAGCACCTACCGCATTATATGGTCAAATCCACCATAGTGCTAGCAACTAAATACCCGCAAACTCAACCTTCCGGGTCTTTTTTCGGAGGGTTAGGGTTTCTTCGTTGCTAGCTCGGTAGTGGATTTGGCTAGTTAATGCGGTATTCACTCGGGGTCCCTGCAAATATAAACACGCAGAGAAAAGCTGATTGGGCCTAGATCACGAGCACTATTACATACTATATAGCTATTGACTATCGTCTAGGGTGGTTTTATTTCCAAGTGAAATAAAACCTAGCGTACTCTAGTACAATATCAAAAACAAGCATTCCAAACTTTTATACAGGCGAATGATTGGTTAAATTTTCAGGACGTTATGTAGGGACCCCCTTTCCTTACCATACGTAAAGAATAAGATAGGCAAGGAAAAAAAAGTTGAATGGGAACAAAAAATAATAAAGCAAAGAAAGCAAGAAAAGGAAAGAAAGAACCGCATAATTTTAACAGAATGATACCCCCCCCCTTTTTTTTGCCCTAACGCCTACACAGAAACTCTCTCTCCGCCACCCCAGAATATTCATGCCTTGTATAATATCATATACTTTGCTACAATCATAAAGAGGAGTAATGAAGTGCCCATACTCATGATGGAAATTTTTACATTTATGCAGGTAGGTCTAGAAATAGTATTGTTAGATTTTGAGGGCCTTAAAATAATAGGTTATGGAGCAGCCTCACCATCCAAGAAGAAGTAATTTCCACTGAGTTTCTGGATCTGATCTTGCTGGGAATCAAGTTTGTTGATTCTAGGTCTGAAATTCTCCTTGTCACGTCTGAAGGTAACATTCAGGGACTTAAGGAACTGGTTGCATCCAGTCAACAGACTTTGAGGTTTGGTAGCAACCGCCTTAACGGATGGAGTACCCTCAAACACAATCACACGATCTGCAAGATAAGTAGCCATGATGAAATCGTGCTCGACGACAAATGCGGTCTTCTTTGAGTGCATGATGAAACGCTTGATGACACGGGCAGCAATAATACGTTGCTCGGAGTCAAGGTATGCAGAAGGCTCATCAATGAGGTAGATATCCGCTGGGAGACCAAGTGCAAGAACAATGGCCACACGTTGCAATTCTCCTCCAGAAAGATGCTTAACTTCTTGATCGATGAAATCGTCGATGCGGAGGGGCTTGAATACATCTGTCTGGAACTGCTGGTTAAGGTAAGATGCACGGATACGCTTAAAGATGAGTTCTCGGACGGTTCCAGGAAACTTGGGATTGATCTTTTGAGGCTTCATAGAAATCGACATTTTTGGGATCTTTTTGCCATCATCTGGAGGTTCGACACCGGCGAGCATACGACAGAAGGTGGTCTTTCCGGTCCCGTTCTCCCCCATCATGACTATAATTTCTGAATCCGTGAACTCTCCCTTATCAATCTGCAGTTTGAAGTCTCCGAATGTTTTGTTCATAGCTGGATAATTGAAGGCGCGTGATTTGTCGACAAGGAATTCATCACCGGCTTCAGCGATACGGAACTGAAGCGATTCCTCGCGGAAACGCAAGTTTTCGGTGGGAATGTGACCGTCGAGGAATATATTGATACCTTCGCGGACTGACGCGGGGAGGGTAACGACACCATAGGCGGCAGGTTTACCGTAAAGGACACAAATAAAGTCAGAAAGGTAATCAAGAACAGACAAATCGTGCTCGACCACGATAACATAATCATCCGGCCTCAAGAGACCACGAATGGTTCCAGCAGCCTTCAAACGTTGCTTCACATCCAAGTAGGAGGACGGCTCGTCGAACATGTAGCTAGAATACTGTTAAAAGAAGATAAATAGTTTTTTTTTTTTTGGGGGGGGGTGGCTTACACATCTGCCATCTGAACACATGCCACAGCGATAGCAAAACGTTGAAGCTCTCCACCAGACAAATTCTCGACGTCACGGTCCAAAACCGGGCGAAGGTCTATAAAGTTACTAACTTTACGATCCACGGGAGGAAACAAAACCCCTACCAAGAATATCAACCATTTCATCGAAGTTGTCCCTTTGACATTGTCCCTCCAAAAGTGCTTTGACAGATCTCACTTTCCCAAGAATAGCCTGTGGCAACTTATCGACATATTGCGGTTTTACAACAGCCTTAATGTTATCTTCAACGACCTTGGTAAGATAGTTTTGAAGCTCTGATCCACGGAAATATGCCAACGTCTCGTTCCAATCCGGTGGGTTGTCGTATCTTCCCAAGTTGGGCTTTTGTTTACCCGAGAGAATCTTCAACGCCGTCGACTTACCAATACCGTTGGTTCCCACAAGCCCTAAAACTTGACCAGGGCGTGGAGTAGGAAGTCTGTGTAGCTTAAACGAGTTTGCGGAGTAACGATGCGTCACCTGAGTTTCGAGATTTGTCGGCAAGTTGATGATGTGAATCGCTATCGAGTGAGAAGATCAGACTCTTGTATCGGCCATCAATCTTGGAATGTGGGATCCATACCGCCAAAAGGACATTTCTTGGGACAGATACCACATCCAATACATAATCTTTCTGAGATAAAAGCGATCTTGGACTCCGGGGTCACTTCAATACAGAGCTTTCCTGTTCTTACAACAGGACACGATTTTTTGCATTCTTGTCGACATTTCTATAATTTGCAGAAATTTTACTTTAGAATGTGCACACAACCGGAGTTCGCCGCTAGAATATTCATACCTTCGGTTTGCACTGTAGTCGGGCAGCTGCCAGTTAGCAAAATCGACGACAACACTATAAGAGAAAAGGCAAAAGAAAGGGATACGAAGAAGTTTTCTTACCTTATCCGTGCTCACGATGGCGATACTTTTTCACCGAACTAACGTTAGCTACGTTGCCTTCTAATAACCCCAAAAAACGAATTGGAAGGCCATACCGAGTGAGTTTATCAGACATTATGCTACCTGACCCAGCGATGAATCAAGAGGTGGACGTTTATAGGTATTGCTCTGAAATCGCGAAACAAAATGAGGGGTTACCGTCTAACAGAAAGGTCTTGTTAGGTGGGGTTCAAAAGTTAGATGAAGTCTTGGTATGCGACTAGCGGCTGAATCCTGTGGCTTGCGTGGCGGGTGCTGAT